GTACTAACACATAGCAAGGACCTATCCACACTAGGAAAACAAGTGAGGGAGGGAGCCGCTCCTTCCTGTGATTTTTGTTTGTTTTTGATGCTTAGATCCAACCATGCCTTAGGCCAGAGACCCAGCTCTTGGAACCTCTGCTTTTTTTAAGTGCTTGCATTAGTTGGAGCTGCGTTCTTCTCCCCAGGCAGGTTCCCATTAGCTCTGGCAGCCCCTCCGGAAGGGGGCAATGAGCCTGATTTGATTTTGTATCCCAGAGGCTCACACGGCTCTCAGTTTATTCTTAGCCACGGGCACAAAGCTCCTGCCAGCCCCCTGAGCCCACTACCATCAGCCAGCCGTGTTCCTTGCAAGACCGACTCTTCTCTCGGGTGACTTTGCAAGGAGTCACAAATTCTCTGGACACAGAGAGGCTTGGGTGCACAGCTCCTGCCGTTGTGGCCGTTTGGGAAGTGTACCAGCAGATGGAAGATCTCTCCTCTCTCTACGTCTCTCCTTCTCTTTCTCTCTGAAACTCTTTTGAATAAAAATAGGAAACAAATCTTTAAAAAAAGAAAAAGCAGGCAGCGCAAGGGGTTGAGACAACCATAACCTTTGAACTCACGAGCCCCAAACACCGTAGGAGGCTAACGGAGCGCACCTGAGAGCCCCGTCACTCCGCCCACCCAGCCCCCTCCCTCCTCCATTCTGTCTGCTGCCTTCCCAGCGGGGATGGTCAGGGAGGCGGGACCCACGGCAGGTGTGCTCGTTTGGTCCACAGCTCCCCTGGGAACCTCGTGCTGCTTCGCTGGTCCCCAGAAGCCACACAAGTCCACGGGCTCCCCTGGTCTGGGTCGGAGGAATGTTCTGGTCCCCAGCCCCTGGGGTGGCTAGATCTGAGTGAGCCACGCCAGCTGGGTGCCTCAGTCCCCAGCATGCCTGGGCTGCCTGTTTACAGCCCAGGTGGGCCTAATAGGCCTCCTCCCCAATGCCCCAAGCCCGCCCTGTGCGCAGGCGCAGTCGACCGGGTAGCCATAGTTAATCGGAACAATCCGGCAGTTACAGGGGTGTGGAAACACCAGGTTTTGGGGTCCACTGGAGTCACTAACACCCGCACCTCTCCGCCACCGAGCAGCCCACCAGGAGGGTGCTGGGGAGACTGCGGGGGTCCAAGGAGGCAGCACCCAGAGGTGAGTGGAATTGTTTCTCTCCCGTGGGGGCTCGTTCTGGAAGGTGCTGGGTGTGGGCCACAGGTTGGCGTGGGGCAAGGGCCCCTTGGGAATGGGCGTGAGGTCTAGCCTGGCCCTGGTTTGAGCGTCTGGTTTGGTCTGGTTTGGTCCTGACTTCGGGGATGAGATCCGCACAGTGCGCGCCACCAGCGCCTGCTAGCACCTCTGGGCTCAGCATGCTCCTTAAGACCGTGCATGCCTTGGCTTCCCAGAGTAGCCGCGTGTTGAGATGAACTAGGGACAGTGGAGTCGTCAAGTTGCCATGCTTTTTACCTGTTCCTTGTCTGTGCTCCCGCAGTTCTGTGACTTTCATAAAGACTCATTTATTTATGTTGGAAAGGCAGATTTCACAGAGAGGAGAGACAGAAAGATCTTCCATCTGCTGTCTTACTCCCCAGTGGCTGCAAATGGCTGGAGCTGAGCTCATCTGAATCTGGGAGCCAGGAACTTCTTCCTGGCTTCCCGTGTGGGTGCAGGGTCTCAAGGCTTTGGGTCATCCTTTACTGCTTTCCCAGGCCACAGGCAGAGGGCTGGATGGGAAGTGGAGCAGCGGATCAGTGACCATATGGGATTCTGGCACTTGCAAGGGGGAGGGCTAGCCAATGGAGCCATCGTGCAGGCCCCTCCCATACCTCTGTGACTACAGTACCCGGTGCCATGGTAGCCCTCAGGGCTACGTGCTTGGTTAGGTGCCTACAAGTCTATTGGTTTTATGTGTGTGCATGCCTGCCTGCCTGGCTGCTGACATGGACACAAAGGCAGGTGGCTGCTCCCGGTGCCTTATCTCACTGCCCCCGTACGTGAAGGAGATACAAACCCACCGGCAGCTCTGGGCTGTCCTTCGACCCATCGGGATCCAGATCTGCTTGTCTTGGCTCTGAGCACTGGACATGCGCTGTGCTAACTCAGACTCTAACACAGCCCTGGCAGTTCAGCCCCCTCCCTCTCCCGCAGTGTCAGGTGCGGCCTCCAGGGGGCACTAGAGCAGAGCGGGTCTTCCCTTGAATAGCTTCCTGAGGCCTCATTCCAGCGCAAAGCCAGCAGGGGATATGATGTCAGTCTCTCTCCCTTTTCTCTTCTCCCCCTCCCTCTCTCAAGGACTGGTTCACTCCGTACAACAGTCAGAACTGGGAACCCACCCACGTCTTCCACGTGGTCCACAGGGAATCACCTGCTGCCTCCCAAGGAGTGCATTTGCAGGGAGCTGGGCTTAAAGGCAGAACTAGGGACTTGAACCCAGGCACCCCAATATGAGTATGACAGCTTAACCACTGCACCAAACACCTGCTCTGCATCTTCACATCTGACACCACCTCTCCTGCTCCCCTTTCCTCGCCATGTCCCCTCACACATCCGCTTCACGCTCTCTTGTGGTGTCAGAGCTTGTAACATTGGCCTCTGACTCCATGGGGACCCAGCTTCCACTTCCTGTGGTCAGAGGTAAACATCAGACCCCACTGTGGGTTTCTGCTGCCTTTCCATGCAATCACCCAGCAGCTTAGGGTGCCTGCTCCTGGCTTAGCACCCCAGGAGGAGGTAGAGGAGGGCGCCCTAACCCATAACCTTTGCAGGGACCCTGGACTGGTGTGCAGTGGCCACGGCCAAGGCCACATCTGCCACTCCGTTGCTAAGGGTGGCTGTCAGCTACAGAGCTCCTGGGTCACAGGGTCCCCCCAGGAGCCCAGCCAGTGAGAACAGGTGAGCAACAGAAAGAGGACTGGCAGGACCTGGGCAGTGCAGACTCCCTCTCCCGGCCTGTGCTGCACCCCAGGGGACCCCGTTCAGGATGTGGCTGACCACAGGCATCCCTCATACATCTTTACTTGCTAGCCACATACATGCGAGTCTGGGCTCCGCACTGAGGCTGCCATACAGTGTCTGGGTGGGCTGGAGAGCTCAGCATTTTATGGGCACATCCTTTTGCTATTATCCTGGGCAGCAAGGCACCTTCTTTACTCCCCTGAGCCTCAACCTCTTCATCTGTAAAATGGGTGTAAATAACTACTAAGTCACTGCCAGTGGGCTGCTGAGAGGCTTGAGTGAGCTATCCTGGGCCTGGCACACAGCAAGTGCCATGAACTGGGACATCTCTCACTGCCTGATCCCAGAAGCCCACCCGTAGGGATGCTGCCCTGAGGTTTGGCATCCAGACCCCAGTGCCACTCTCCGCCAACCTCTCTGAGCCACAGTCAACAGCTACAGTGTCTGCCTGGGACAAGGGTGCCCAGCAAGTGTCTGGTACCAAGGGACGGTTAATTTGCCTGCTGCCCCAGTTTCTGGTGTGTCAGCTAGGAGCTCGTTGTCAGAAGACCCATTTCTACATTTCCTTGGGAAGCCTCCGTTTCCTGTACCTGTAAGCCTGCTGCTTTCACCCTTGGGGTGAGAGAAGTGAGTGACCTATTTATCCTGTAGCCCCACTCCTTGCACCCGCCCGAGTCTCAGAGCAGCCATCCAGTCTTTATTGAGAAACAGTTCATCAACGCGCACAGTCTTGGGCTGGTCCCATCATTGGGTCTTCATTAGCAGTTTGTGGACGGGGGTGTGGGTGGGTGGGAAAGAAGCCCTGCCGCACGAAGCAGGAGTCACAGCTGGACAGCTCTGGGCTTATGTCTCCAGAGGATGTATGCCCCATAAAAAGTTCTAGAACCAAGAATGCCTTTAAAAGACCCTTGGAGATGGGGATCTGAACCATTACCTCCCTGGCAGCTGGCTAGCTGCTGCTGAGAAAGCCCAACACCAGGTCCTGGGGTTCTGCAGCTCCCAGCATGGCAGCCAAACAGCTAGCTGGTTGGTGGAGGCGGGTGGGGTTAGGGGGAGGGATGCGTCACCTCTGTCTTGACAGTCACAGGTTCTTCCTCTGCTACAAGAACCCTTCCACCTTCCTTTCCCCACCCTGAACCCAGTCGTCTGCAGAAGCTGCACTTGGAAAGCCAGCTGTTGGCCGTGCACTTGGAAAGCCAGCTGTTGGCCGTGGGCCATAGCAGGTGCCACCAATGAATATTCTACCTTGTCTCTGCTGTGGACTAAGCTTTGTGTGATGCTGTTTGCTTTCCCTCTATCTGGGGCTATCTGAAACCCCAGTGCAAGACACACCCCCTTCTTCCTCCCACATATGCCCTTAGGGAGTACCCCTTCCCCTGCTAAACTCCAGAATGCAATGGAACCGATCTGGTCTATGACATGTGAAAAATAGGGTGCTTCCCAGTCTCAAAAGTGCTGTTTGTAAAAAGATGTCTGACTGCCGAGGCAGCCTGAAGCCCACCACGGGATGTGGGTAGGGATGGAGGTGGAGTGTGCAGGCCACGGTAAATATAAATAAGTGTACACATGGGCCTGGCATCCAGCAGGGCAGTCCTAAGAGACTGCACAAGCAGGGTTGGGGACCACGTGGGACAGGCTCCCCTTTCACAGTTCAATCCCAATTTGGAGTTCAATGGGAAGTTCATGATTATTCTGTGCTGGAGCCTGAGACGTGCGGCACCCCCTTAACTGAAGAATACACAATAAGGCCTCTCCCACTGGGCTACGATTGTGGCATCCCAGAGTGGGCACAGCTTGTGTTGGAGGGAGGTGTGTGTGGGCAGGGGGAGGGCTGGCCACCCAGCAACTGGCCTGGAGCAGTCTTCTTCGTGCGGTTTGTCCACCTTCCTCTGTCCTTCTGGCGTGGGAAAGTTCCAGAAGCTTCTTGTGCGAGGCTTGAATGGGGAGGGAAGGCCTCTCCCCTCTAGGAATGCCCCATTTTCAGCCCCGGAGCTAGCTGTGACTAGTCGTCCAGCAGGTGGAGCCGGCGGCTTACAGCAGGGCAATGGGCTTATTCCCTGGAGCTCCTAGGTACTGAGCAGAAGAGGCAGCGCCTGACACAGCCACACCATCCGGGCCAGAGTAGGTGGTGGCGTACAGACCTGTCACCCGCACGTCTGGGAAGGCTTTGTCATTGCCCCCAGAGACAGGGGTCAGGCCCGCGGCCCCTGGGTCACAGCCAAGTGGGGAGTCTCCGAAGGCCCCCAGGGTATCCAAGCTGAAGCCATCTTCTTCCATCTCCTCCCAGAGGTTGCCTGGCAAAGACAGCAGTGGGTGTGTGTGAGCTGGGATCATGGGCAACGTACAGTCTTAGGAATGAGTAGGGGACAGTGGGTAGCAAGCAGTTCAGGGAGTGCTCCAGCCCCGCTCTCCCAAACTCCTCCACCCCGCTACGAGTGCCCCTGCCTCTTTATCTCCCAGGGCCTTGGCAAGGGCCAAGAGAGAACATGAGGGAAGATCCATTATTTCCACAGAACCCCACCAGCGGGGCCAGGGTCAGTGTGCTCAGCCACCTGAGAACCCAGAGAGAGGCAAGGGCTCTCCCCATGTCCCCGTATCCCTGGCTTCCTGTGGATCAAACTCTCAACTCACTCATGCCCCTCTTTGCAGGTGGAATCGAGGGTAGGGGATGCCTGGGCCATGGACTAGCCTGTGACAGGTGTACCCATGATGCTGAATCAATGAATTCTGAGCCTTCACTAAAGCCTAAATTTCCCTTATTTGCTCATTCATTCATTCATTCGTTTCCCCTTTATTGAGGCTGGCCAGGCAGTGGGCATGGGTCAGAGAGTGACCTGGCACGAGGAGTGGCCACAGTCACTGATGTGCCTGGGGTCTGGGAGTCCTGGGTGTCATGCTGGCTTTGCTATAGGCTAGTAGGGGGTGGGGGGGGGGCAGTCCTGGACCAGTGTCTTTCTTTTTCCCTGCCTCAGTTTCCTTACTAGCCTCAGAGGATCATTATAAATGGGATGACACCTCTGATGGGCCTGGTATACAGTAAGTGTTCACTGTTTATTGTGTCTAGGGAGCTGCTATGGCGATGAAGCTGGGGTGGGAGAACGCATGGCGTGTTTCCACCCCATGTTGTCTCCACCGCCAGCAGCTACAGCCGCCTCACCCTGCAGAGCGAAGTCCACGATGCTGGGGTCCAGGGCATCCACCTCGGTGCTCATGTCAGCTCCAATGCTGCCGAAGTCCACGGGGGCCCTGCCCACGACGGGGTGAGGGAGAGGCCTGGGGCTCAGGTCTGGCATGGCATGTAAGGGTGGGGTCTGGGCTGGTGCTGGAGAGTCTGGGGCAAGATGGCCTCGGGGCTGGAGCTGGTGGTTCAGGGGGGCCGATTGCAGGGACAGGGTCCTCGGTGGCTGAGGAGGGAGCTGGGAGACGGCCAGACATCCAGGGGTTGCTGTGGTCACTGTCACTGAGGTGGGGCACAGCAGCAAGGGGACCTGGGGCTCTCCAGGTTTGCCGGGACGCCTGCAGCTTTCCGGTCGGTCTGAGATCAGCTTGTCCAGCTCCTCTGTGGACAATGGGGACAAGTGACTCAGAACTCATTGGCAGATGCCAGGCCCCAGCTCAGACTTGGCTTTCAAGTGTCTTCCTGACTCTCCAAACTCCTGTCTCCTAGGATACGGCATCTTGATGGTTCAGTGATATTCCCTGTAGGGTCCTGGGGCAGGGGATGAGCAGGCATGGAAGCCCCTCCCACCGCAGTCATGCAGATGGAGCACAGGAGGAGGTTAGAGACCCTCAGGGACCAGGCTAGAGCAGATCCACACGCACGGTCCCTTGGCCAACCCCTGCCACCAGAAACACATAAAGGAGTGTGGCTATGGGCTAGAGATGGGCTCCCCTTGGAAAGCCCAGCTGTCGCAAGTGGAGACAAGTGACTCTGAGGTCACAGGGGCGTTGGTGCTGACACAATGTTGAGACGGGAGTGCTGAGTTCCATTCCAGTTGCATCCACTTAGGAGCCAGGAGCACTCAGGGGGCAGCGGTTAGGGCTGGTGGTTAACTAATGTCCTGCAGGACAGCCGCACCTCGTACTGGAATGTCGATTTGGGTCCTGGCTTCACTCCTAACTCTACTCTCCTGTAATGTGCACCATGGCAGGCAGCAGGTGACAGCTCAAGGACTCGCGTCCCTGTCACCCACGTGAGAGACTTGAATTGAGTTCCAGGCTCCTGGCTCCTGCTTGTCCCAGACATTAGAGAAGCAAAGCACTGGGTGGAATCATGCACTTGCGCTCTAAGTACATAAACTTACAAAAAAAAATTATTTTTTAATAAATGGTGGCTAGGAGGCCAAATGAACTAGCCAATATCTCATCTCCCTCTTCTCTCCTCCCCTCCCCCGATTTATTTGAAAGGCAGAGAGAGAGAATGAATGAATGAATGAAAATAAAATTAAATATGTACCCAGACCGGTTCTTGGTCTCAAGCCAGACCCCGGAGCTCTTGGTGGATCAGGGTCACGTGACTCCTACCTCCTCCACCCCGCCCCCAGCTGAGAGCCTGTTGGCTCCTATCCAGCCCTACCCCCACCTCCCAGTCTCCCCAGGCCTCTCCCTTCCCTTTCATTCCTAAGCAAACAGCAGGTGCAGCCACTTCTCCAGTTACAGAAGCAACCCACGAGCAGTGCCTTCTTTGGCTAATGCAGAACCACATGAAGACTATGGGAATGATGAGCGGTGCGTCCACCCACGGACCTGATGGTGTTTTTCCAGACTCCTCTTCATAGCCCGCGCGTGTGCACTTGGCTGGCGTGACTGTGTCCATAGTGTGTGAGCGTGGACACAGTCGGCCCTCTGTAGCTGCCATTCGGGATCTGCAGACTCAACCAACCGTGGACTGAAAATGTTTCCTAAATTGTTTGTCTGGAGCTGTTCTTCCTGTCACTGCTCCCTAAATTCTGCACTTGCAACCACTATTTGCACTAGAGAAAGCACATACCTACTTCTCAAAGTGCACAGGAGGGGGCTGTGCCATGGTGTAGCAAGCTAAGCTTCCACCTGTGGTGCCAGAGTCAAATATGGGTGCCTATTCATGTCCTGGCTGCCCCACCCCCCATCCTGCTCCCTGCTTGTGACCTGGGAAAGCAGCAGAGGACGGCCCAACGAAAGCTACTGGTTCCCAGCTTTGGATGAGCTCAGCTCTAGCCATTGCAGCTATTTGGGAAGTGAACTTTGGATGGAAGATCTTTCTGTCTCTCCTTCTCTCTGTAACTCTGCCTTTTAAATAAAAAGAACATAATTTATTTTTTTTTTTTTAGTGTATAGAAAGCAAACAAAAGATCAGTTTATTTTGGTGCAAAAAAAATTTGGAAATCCATGCAAAGTTCTTTTTTTGGTAACATTCGTAGTGCATGAACTCTTTGAAGACCACACCCAGGGAATATGCAGATCGTGGGCCATGTTTCTTCCCCAGGGACCTGAGCATGTGCAGGTCTGTGTATCTGCAAGGTGTCCAGGAGCCTCGCTCGGGGACCGGGCGAGTTGACTGCATACTTGCATAAACACACGTTGTAAATGCGTGCCTGCATTTTACAGCAGCGCCGCCTGGCTGGGCAGGTGTCCTCAAAGCCAGCTCCTTGCCCTTGTCTGTACCAGCATTGTCGGGGCACGCTTAAATAGCAGACTGATGGAATAGTAACTCCTGATGAAGAGTATGACATTATGGGGGGGAAAAAAAATCAATCGGGGGGGCGGGGTGGAAAATAGGGGGAGGGAAATCCCAGACTATCCTTAATTGTATGATAAATTTCAAAAATAAAAAATTTTTAAAAGCCAGCTCCTTACTTTCTTTTCCAGGAAGGTATTTTTACATCCCTCCAAACATTTTTAAGCATTTTTCATGGCTTTTTTTTTTTAAAAAAAGGTTTTATCTATTCTTATTAGAAAAACAGATCTACAGAGAAAAGGAGAGACAAAGATTTTCCATCTGCTGCTTCACTCCCCAAATGGCTGCAACATCTGGAATTAAGCCGATCTGGAGCCAGGAGCCTCTTCTGGCTCTCCCACATGGGTGCAGGGTCCCAAGTTCTTGGGCCATCCTCCACTGCTTTCCCAGGCCACGAGCAGGGAGCTAGATCAGAAGTGGAGCAGCTGGGGCATGAACCAGTATCTTTTTGGGATACTGGCATCTGCAGGTGGAGGATTAGCCAATTGAGCTAACATGCTGCCAGGGCCCAGAATTTCTCATTTTCTAATCCATGCATCATATGCCACAACGCTTACTGAATGAACCTTCCATGGTGCCGTGTTTGGAATTCTCTCCAGTCTATAGTCCTAGCAACCATTCTGAAATAGGTTAGCTGTGTCCATAAAAGCTTTGGCCCAGTTCTTGTCTTCCTTTGGCACAGATTGTAAGTTGCCATGGCCGGCCTCTGTGCACGGGAATGCTTGGCCCAAGCTGGGGGCATCTGGTGCTGCCAGAACTGTCTCTGTCAGTGGGTGCGTGGTGCTGCAATGGGTTGTGCAATGGATTGTGCAGTCGTTTGTGTGGTTAGTTGTACAGTTTGACCTCTGTGCAAACAGCCAGGGAGGGTCGGCCACATTTCACGTTCTTTACCAGGACCCTGAGTCAGCAGCCACGGGGGGGTGGGGGTGGATTTAGGAGACAGGGCATGCGCCTCAGACGGAGGGAGGCTCCTCCCCTGCCTGCTAGAGGCTCCGTCAGACTCGGGCTGAGCTGGCCTTGGGCTGGGAGGTGGTGGCTTGTGTATGTGTGTGCATACAACGTGCATGTGTGTGCTAGGTACATATATGTGGTGTGCATATGGTGAAATGTCATGTGGTTGTAGGTTGTACTGTAAGTGTGTGTACATGGGGTGTATGTGGTATGTGTATGTAGCAGTTTTGTGTATGCAGACTGGTGCCCACGGGCATGAAGTACGTGTATTTGTGGTTTAGGTATGCGGAGACATGCATGTGTGAATGTGTATAGAGAAATATGTATGTGTAGATATGTGATATGCACTGTCTGTATCTTAGTGGTTTTTTGTGTGTGGAGGTTCATATGTGTATTGTAGAGGTGTATATATGTGTGTATGTGGTATGTACATGGTACTTGGGGGTGTGTGCGTGTGGAATGGTGCACCTGTGTGTGTGTGAATGGATGTATATAGCAGTATGTGCTTGCGCCTGTCTGCTGGGCGGGGCCTCATGCTGCGGTGGTTGTACGCAGCGAGCGCGCCTGCGCGTGTGCGCCTGGGGCCTCACCCGGGTTGGCCATGCTGCGGTGGATGGCGGCAAGGTCCTTCCTCTTACACTTGTGCATCTCCTCCTCCATCTTGTCGATGCGCGCCAGGTTCAGGGCCCACAGGCAGCCCTTGCGCGACGAGCCGCTCGTCTTGTTCTCCACCTTCTCGAAGCACTTGTTCAGGGACAGGTTGTGCCGCACCGAGTTCTTCCAGCCGTCGGGAGCTGTCTGCAGGTGACACTGGCGCTCGGGGCCCCTGCAGAGCCCTCCACCCCATGCCCTCCCCACCCAAGGACGTGGCAGCGGGGGAGACAGGTCCAGTGCTCAGAGGGAGAGAGAGACAGGCAGGCTCTGCCACAACCTGCATCTCCTAGTGCCAGTGCCAGGACAGCCCGGAGGGGGGTCCCCTCATTCTCTCCCAACTCAGGGAGCGAGACCCAGGCCTGGGTAACATGCCAACTATTTCTTGGCACGTCCATTGTGGATCCTCAGAGCTTCTTGCCAAGAAGCTAGACACTGCAGTGCCGCTCTCTTTTCATTGACCTGCAGCATTCCTGCCAAGCCCACTGTCTGGACCAGGAAGCCTTCCCTCTGCCCCCACCTGGGGGCTCTGAGGGGTGACACACCTGCCCTGTGCCTCTGCATCCGGCAGAGCCCAGCTCCCATCTCCTTTGCTTTCCGGGTCTTCTGTGCACACACGCATGTCCTTGCCACCAGGTGGACTCACATAGATGGGGGGCCTAGGAGGGGGGCATCCCTGCCCTGGTTTGGCCCCGGTGGGGGTTGGAGTTGAGGGGGTACCAGCCTTGGTTTCTGTCAGCTCCGGGTTGAGGCCTGGACAAGCAGCTATGGCACCTGCCGCTGTGGGGAGGAGGGGAGGGTGACCCTCACCTTGAAATAGGGAAAGTGCTCCTTCATGAAGCTGTAGATCTCACTTACAGGCAGGCTGCCCGTCTTGCTGTTCTTTAGGGCCATGGCGATGAGACAGCTGGAGGTGGGGGCGAGAGATGAGGGGCGGGGAGGGCCCACCCTGCTTGACCCCTGCACACTCACACAGTGCCAGCCCTCAATACCTCATTTGCCCCAACCCTGTCTGCCTTTCTTCTTGACCCTGGGCTCTGTCTTCAGCGTCAATCAGAAAAAAATGTCCTGTCCCTGTTTCCTGTATTTCCACAGTGAGGGGGTCCCTGGCCATTGAGGCTGTAGCCCCAGCTGTCCCCCCCCCCCACTCCCAGTACCCACCATGCTGCTATTCTAAGGGCTTTGTTCATGGGAGCAAACTGAGGCTCAGAGGGGGCAAGACAGTCCCCCAGGGCCACCCAGCTTGGCACAGGTGGCTTGGGACCTGGGTGAATGTTCAGACCTGGTGCTGGCCAACCACCTGATACTCCTTTCACAGGATGGGAGCCCACTTGGCAGGATGGAGGGGGTGAGGGGGAGCTATCCTGCCTCCCAGCCCCCACAGCCACCGTCTAAGCCCAGTTGGAGGCGATCCCTCCTCCTCAAGCACCTGCCCCAGCCCAGCCCACCTCTCACCTGTATGAGTAGATGGGTTTGGGGTAGTGCTTGGGGCGCAGTTCCTGAGCTGGCAGCACAGCCATGTGGGGCTGGGGGTAGGGAGGCCGCACCCCAAATGGGGAGCCATAGAGGCCCCCAGGAGGGCACTGCTGGCAGGCAGAGATAAAGAGAGAGAGACAGAGGTGAGAAGCAGCAAATCACCTACAAGACCCCCAGCCCCGCCCAGGGCTTTGGCTTCGCCTATGGCAGGAGTCTGGGGACAGTGAAAGGAATGGCCCCATCACGGCAAGATGAGGAATGCTGTCCCATTCACCAGATAAAGCAAACTGAGGCCCAAGAGACATCCCTAGCTGGCCTAAAGTAGGGGTGTCTGTCTCTGAGACCATGGCTCCCCCTAGCCCCCGGTACCTGCTGGGCCCCTGATGGGGGCAGAAGCGGGAATGGTGGCTGGGTGGCTGCTGGGTATAGCTGGGCTGCATCCTGCAGGCTGGATGAGGGCTGGCCACCTGCAGGGAGCTGGCTTATCTGCTGGGACAGGGAGAGTACAAGGCAGAGGGTCAGGGTGGAAATGGGGGACTCAAGCCCTGCAGGAGCACACTTCGGCTCCCCAATCCCCCACCCCTACCCACCCCAGGCAGCACTTACGCTGACTCCATGGCTGGCTATGGGGCCCAGACCCAGCAAGCCTTGGGGAGCCATGCCAGCTGGACCATGGAGCAGGGGACTTGGGCTGGCTCCCACATGCAGGTCAGCTGACCCGGCCAGGGCACCTGCAGGGGAAAGACACGGGGGGCGCTGGTGGACAGGGGTGGGGCGGGGCAGGGGGAATACTACCCCCTGGTCAGGTAGGTGCTCTGAGTTCCTCCACTGGACTTGATAACTTCAGTTCAGCCTTAGCGCCACTTGTACCTGGGCTGTGCTGTGATATTGTCACCAGGGTTAAATGAGATCACGACTGTCCAGTGCTCCGCACCTTGGGGGCACCTGATGCTACACAGTGCATGTGCATCAGCAGACTGACCCCTGCTCTACATTTTATCCATGAATGATTTGCTCGATTAAAAGAAAAAAACTAGACATTGATTTTTTTTTTTCTCAACAACTGGTGATTTTAATGCTACATTGCTACTTGTTTCCATTGCTTTTCTTCAATATTCTTTTTTTTTTTTTTAAATCAATTTACTTGAAAGAGAGATCTTCCATCCACTGATTTACTCCCCAGATGCATGCAACAGGCAGGGCAAGGCCGGACTGAAGCCAGGAGCCAGGAGCTCCTGCCAGGTCTCCCACAGAGGTGAGAGCCAGGTCCTTCACCAGCTGCCTGCCTCCCAGGCTGGGCATTAGCAGGAAGTTGGAACTGGAAGTGGAGCTCAGACTGGAACTCAGGCCCCCCAATATGGGATATAAGTTCCCCCAAGTGCCAACTTCGCTGCTGCACCCACCACCTGACCGCTTCAACATCATCTGTGTTTCTAAGCAAGCCAGGGGCTGCAGTTGGAACTAGCTGCCATTTATGGATCTCCCACTGTGTGCCTTGAAGAACAGAGACCCTCTTCAACACATGCAGACATGGGCCCTAGCTGGCCAGGAAGTGGGGTCTGCACTGCAGCTCGGTGGGTTAAGCCACCACCTGCCACACCAGCATCCCATGTGAGCTCTGGGTCGAGTGCTGGCTGCTCCACTTGCAATCCATTTTCCTGCTAATGTGCCTGGGGAAAGCAACAGAGGATGGGCCCCTGCCACCCATGGGGGAGGCTTGAATGGAGCTCCAGGCTTCAGACAGCTGTGGGTCTCCAGGTCCAGTTCCAGCTGCTGTGGCTTTTGGGGAGAGTGAACCAGTGGGGGGAAGATTCATGTTCTCTCTCCATCTCTCTCCCACCCTCCCTCCCTGTCACTCTGCCTTTCAAATTCAAAACAAAAACAGATCCACTGGACAGACTCAGTGGATCCATGGCTTGTCCAGGGCCTTGTGCACTGCATGATATCAACACTGAACCACATCTTTCAGAGGCAGGTGGAGCCAGCCCCATTTTCCAGATGTGAAAGTAGAGGCTCAGGGAAAGGGAAGGGAAAGACTACTCAGCAAGAGAGCATCAGGTCCGAGAGCTGCCTTCCTCCCCACAGCAGCCTCCTCCTCCTGTTGCACCTGTGCCCTGGGACCTACCTATGTGTGGATGTGGCACCCCAGGGCCGCCCAGGTCCATGCGATTGCTTGTCATCTGCTGTAGCCGAGGCACGTCCACAGCCGTGAGCCATGACAGTGACTGCAGGTCCCCGGGGAGGTCTTCATGGCTGGTGGGTGCCAGGAGCCTGCGGGGAACAACAGGGAGCTCGGATGAGGGTGCTCAGTGCATGCTGGTACCCGTTCCATCCCATGTTTTAACCCAGAAGGCAAGCACTAGTAAGTAATATGGGCTGAGCACCTAGAAGCCAGAATCCAAAATGCTCCAAAGTGTTGGTACCTTAGGAGCACAGGCACAATGCCAGATTCTTCCCATGATCTCGGGTGCCAGGCCACAAGGCAGGTGTACTGTGGATACTGTATCCTGTGACCTGCTGGCTGCTTGTGTGTCATGTGTGTGTGCAACATTGTACGGATCTGGATCCGTGTTGAGACAGTATTGTGGGTGCAGATAGTCTAGAATCGGAGTTCTGGAATGCATCTGGACTTTTCCATCTCTGCCCCCACAGGACAAGTGGGGAAACTGAGGCAGAAGGTCTCAGCTCAGCCCAGAGCAGGCTGCATTCAGGTTCCACCTGTTTGAGGAGAACCAGGTGGTCACAGCATCCAGCTTCCCACCACTCTTTGTTGTGCGGAGGTTTTGCGTGGAGCTTGCAGGCCTACTGAGATGGCAGGCCACCTGTTCCTGACTGGGTTCAGCAGCCCTGAGGTGTAGGATGGGCCTTACTCCCCATTTTACAGACAGGAAAACTGAGGCTCCAGGTCACTTGCCCAAGGTAGCACAGTACAGGGAATGGTGGGTCAGGGACTTTGGGTGCAACCTGAAGACCAGCTGCTTCCCCAGGACTGCAAGCAGTGAGGACACCTGACCCCCACACATCTACCCCACCACCACCACACCCCACGGGGTCCTGAGCAGACACGTGGCTCTCCAGGGAAGGTGGAGGAAGTGAGGGAGGCTGCCCCAGTGGGGAGACCAGATGCAGCATCCAATGTGAGACAATATCTTAGGGGGTCCTGAGGTCACATTGGTGGCACTTTGTCATCACTGGCCCTCACTGACCCCTACCGGCCCGACACCACCACGGCCTGGGGCTTAGAGACCTAGAGCCTGAATTCTAACAGATCAGAGAGTGAGGGGACAGAGGGACAGGATGTGCTTATAACAATAATAATGTGCTTCCCTGTGTGATTCACCCAGGAAGCTCCAGGTCCCCCTTTTCTGCTTTTATCTGTCTCTGGCTCACTCACTCTGTTTGCCCTACCCGCCTCTCCCCATCTCTTGCTCTCTTTCTCCTGGTCTCTTTAGGGCCCCCATTAGCGTTGCCATGGCCACAGTTGTTGTTGGTGGGGTGGGGTGGGGTGGGGTTGGTCGGGGTTGGACCAGGCCCTCAGCCCACGATGCTGGCATCAGGTGACTGGCCACGGGCCCCCACGATTGGCTGCCTCATAGGAAAATAGCTTCTGGAGACCACTTGAAAATCCCGGCTGGCATGTGTCCCTGGCAGCAGTTGGCCCGGCTGCTGTCCCCCCAGAGGCCCATTGTGTGAGGGATGACTGTTGCCCCTGTGGCACGTGGCCCCCATTGTCCTGGGTCTCATGGACCCCCCTCGGCTGCTGCTCCTTCCTCATTCTGGCTGAGCGACAGCCACGGTCTGGGGCCTGGGCCATGCCATCTGTCCCCTAGGCCCTCAGGGACCATGGTGTGAGGTGGAGCGGCAGGGCCCACTGTTGGCGATGCATGGCCAGCCCCTGCCCTTCTCCCTTTTTTTGCACACAGTGACCAGCTGACCTTGCTGTATTTGCTGACTGTTCAGGGACCTGCTGTGACTCCCGCTGCCCCTCATCTCTCTGCCTGGTACCAAGGGGACAGGAAGGCATAGAATCTGGCTTGTGGAGGTGGTTCTGGTCGGGGCTCTGGATTCTAATGCTGGTTTCCCCTGACCCACATGTGTGTCCCCTGAGCGCTATCTTACCCTCTACAAGCCTCACTTTTTTTATCTGTGCAATGGGATGATAACAGTCCCCCCCCCTTCTTAGGAGCACACCCGACAGTGCTGTCTGGTGCTATAATCAATGCTACTATTGGGTAGGCCCCCCGACGTCACAGACACCTGCCCCTGCTGTCACTCTTCACTTCCATCATTGGCCGCTTGCTGCATGTCAGCCCCACATGCGGCAGGGACTGTTCAGTGGTGCTGCCCAGTGATGCTGGCTCTCCCTGCTGTCTGCCAGCCCCATGGGACAGATTTGACCTCTGGCTCATCCACGTGAGAGGGCTGCTGCACCCCACCTCGGGTGCACCTGTGTCAGTCTTGCCTCCACATGCATCTTGCATATCCCACCCCTCTTATCCAGAGACCCAGCCAGGAGTGCCGCCTTAGCTTTTCTTTCGCCACCCACAACTGCTCAGTCCCCCAGGACTCACTTCAAAATCAGAGGCCTCGGGCCTCTGAGCCTGTTGTGGCCTGAGCCTGGGCTGTGATGGGGAAAACTCCAGGTGCCCCCCAACCCTGAGATCAGTTCCTCCTCTGGGTCCCTGAGCAGGGGCCCCATTTGCATCCCACCTGCTCCCTGTGTGTGCCCAGGACCATGAGGCCTGTGCTGCCTGTCTCTGCCCTCTTCCCACCTGTGAGCTCACTGAGCATTGGCTCAGAGCCCCAGTCCCACACGCAGTGGGTGTCTACTAAATGCCAGTGTGGCAGCTTGAAACAGACTGAGCAGGCCACTTAACCTGAGAATGATATGACCATGACAGTCATGGCTGGCACTGCCCCTTTGAGAGAGAATTTTTTTATCCTTTGGCTCACTACTCCCCAAATGCCTGCAACAGCTGAGGTGGGGCCAGACAGAAGCCAGGTCTCCCAGGTGGGTGGCGGGGACCCAGAGTCACCTGCTGCTCCCCAGGGGGTGCACTAACAGGAGGCTGGGTGGGAGCTAGAGCTAGGACCCCAGCCCAGGCTCTCAAATAAGGGATGCGCACATTGCCAGCAGCATGCAAGGCATGAGCCGAAGGCCTACTCCCTGGTCCAGCATCTCGAAAGCTGCAGAGCTGTGGTTGCTCTATCTTGCTCCTTGAAGCCCTAGGAAGGGGGCAGGGAGCAGACCACCCGCGCTGTATGGTCCGAGTTCCTGAAGCCTAGAAAAGCAAAGTCCCTTTGCTTTGAAGCAAGGTAGCCAGTACATGACTGTGGGTCTGTCTGCTACACTCGTGGGCTGTCCCCAGGGTTCTGCAGGCAAGATGCAGACGGACAGGCAGGGGCCCATGGAAGCTAGAGTTCACAGCCAGTGACCCAGCACCTCTGGGAGTTCCACCCTTTGGCTTCCCAGCTATCCTGAAGAAGGAGGGCAGCCCTAGGGGAAGAGGCTGATGCTTGGGCAAAGCTCACCCCTTCAGTCGGGTAGATCTGGGGTCAAGTGTGTGACCCCTGTGCTGTGTGACCTTGGACAGATGCCAGGGTCTCTGTTCCTTGGGTTATCAGAGAAGCCAGGGTATGTCCCACTTTGTGCACAGGCCTGTCCCTCAGCCTGAGCTCAGTGGCCGGCTGGCCAACCCCCTCCCTACACCTGTTGCCGCCTAGGGAGCCCCAGAGGTGTCCCAGAGGTGGTCTGGCCCTCCTTCTGCCTCTCCCCAAGCTGGAAGGCCTGGCAGGTGGTGCCAGCGAGCCCTGTGGATGCCTGCTCAAGGAGCACTGTGGGGGGAGCCTACTGACTCCAAAGCTTGACCTGCTTCTCCCTCCTATGTTTTAGGGTCCTGTGGACCTCCGGGTTTTCTCTAGGGTATGTCACAGCGAGAGGGCAGTGGCAAAGCCCCAGAGCCCAAACCTGGTACTTGGTGGTCCTTGCCCCAATAGTGTCCCCCAACTCCACTGCCAAATCCCGCCCCGCCAAGGCCTGAAGATGGCCCCACTGGACAGCATGGCTCTCTTTTAGCATTTCCTAGAGGCTCCATAGGGGTTGGAACGCAGCAAGGACTGTGATTCAGAATCTACCCTGGCTTCCCAGAATGTCATGAACTCCCCGGACTCAGTTTTCCCACCTATAAAATGGGCACAGATGATAATATTAATAGCAGCAGTGCCTGATGCCTCTTAAGGCTGGTGTGCAGGGTGGAGGTCATGTGGATTTATGATCTGTAAAGAGAGACACACACATAGTGTGCTTCTGTGATGGGAAAAGACCAACCTCAACCCACACGGCTTTGCGCTGGTCCCAAACCTGGTCCCATTCTGTGTCTGTCTGTCTGCAGCCATTGTTAACCTGGGCTTCCTGTTAGATATCCTCCCAAACCATCTTGAGACTCAGTTTCTTCATCTGCAGAATGGGTTTAACACTGATGGTAACAGAGCACCCCCAAGAGCTCTTAGTCAAAGTCCATCTTCTCCTGGTTCCCCAAAGACCCTTCCCCATCCCAGCCACTCATAGTCACCTAAGCAGGACGTCTGTGTGCCCACCGCCCCAGCTGCCCAGGGCCAGTGAGCCAGGCTTGCTGGAAGAAGGACAGATGCTTGCAGCTAACAAGCACTCTCCTTCCCTCCAGCTCCATGGTGGCAAGAGATGGGTCCTGTGTCCCCAGCAGCTCTGCAGTTCCTGGGTGTGCCAGATAACCTGCCTGCCTCTGGGGCATGGCCAGCCATCCTTCCCATCCCATCAGGGCATGGCCAGACACATCCTGCTCCATCAGGGCATGGCCAGACACACTTCCCTCTGGAGCATAGTGAAACATTGTCCCAGCCCCCTATGTGACATCTTGACCATGCCATCCTCCATTCCCGCTGTACCACCTATTGTTTCCTTACAATGGACACCTTTCCTTCCTCCTTTGCCCCTCTCAGCTTCCCTGTCTCAGATTCTCCCCAGGGAGGGCAGAGGATTCTGGATATCCCTCTGCCTGCAGTGTTATTCCAGGTACTCCTCAGCCTACATACTCCCTATCATGCAAAACATCATCCCTGGCCACTCTGTGCCCTGATGGCCCTTCCTGTGTGTGTCCACAGAGCAGGTGCTGTGATGTGAGCCATTTATTGATATCTGTTCTCACCTCTCTCCACCCTGTGGGCATTTATTGCACCCTTTCTGGAGTAGGACAAGCAATCCTGGTCCTCAAAGCTCTATCCACTTCCTGCCAAGCTCAGATGGCACTGCTGCCAGGATGCCCTCTCAGACTGGTCTTTTCTTTGCCAGTCTTTTGTTCCCCTGCTGCAGTTGGATCCATCAACATCCACACATAGCATAGAATGCGTACATTGCCCACAAGTTGCCTCCAGCCACCTGCTCCTCCCTTTGTATGCTGAACATCAGGATGCTGGTTGCAAGACACAGAGCAACTGGCCCAGGCTTCAGTTGGACAAATAAATTTGTCCATTCAAGATCAACTGGGGCGCCCAGTCACTGACCAGTGTGAGATGCAGGTCTTGGGTGGTGCCTGTGTAGGCCATGTGTGCTTACCCCTCAGTGGGATCCCACTTTGGGAGCTGTTGCTGACACAGCCCCAGGCCAGAGCCCACACCTAGCTCCTGAAAAGGAAGGAATACCCATTTGGGGTTCACCCCCAACATCTCTGTGACTGTGTCATTTGGGACAAGTCCCTTCTCTCTGTGCCTCAGTTTCCCCACTAGTGCAATGGAATGATGGCAGTTCCCATTGCAGGAGAGGGCAGGGAGGAAGATCCAAATGAGGAAGAAAGAGTTTGGCACGTAGTAGGGCCTAGACACTCACAGTAGGTGTCTTCCTATCTTTCTTGCTCCTCTTAGCTAACACTGACTGTGGGAGGAGCCGTGGTCGTATCACCGCAGGCTGCTCTTGCCTCCATCCAACCCTTACACAGAGAGGGTGCAGTAGTGTGCCAGCTACTGATCCAGCAGACCTCAAGCTGCAGGCTCACCCACTGGATGGAGCCAGAGGGTTTTCACACCTGTCTCCAGCATCCCACCCTGTAGAAGGAGCTACTTCAGGAGCAGGTGTTTAGCCCAGCATCCCACCTGCATCCCACCTCAAAGCGCCTGGGTTCAAGTTCCAGCTCTGGTCCCGACTCCGGTCCTGCCATTGTGGGTCTTAGAAGGCAGCAGCAATGGCTCGGGTAACTGGCTCCCTAGCACCCATGTGGGAGACTTGGCTTGAGTTCCAGGCTCCTGGCTGTGGCTCCTGCCCGGTCTCAGCCCTTGTGCACCATGGACCAGGGGTGGGCCTTCTCTCCGTCTTGTCTGCCTCTCCAAAAGAATGTTTAAAGAAAAACAATAAGGCAGCCTGTTGAACCTGATCTCTGGGGAGGAAATGAAAAAATGTCGTTCCACCTCTCTGACAAGTCACATCTCTGGGCCTCTGCATCCCAAAAGGGGACAGTATGCTTGCTAAGAAGCAGGTGCGGGGCAAACAGCTGATGCTTCATAACCATATTCCTTAGCACCTTGAAGGGTGGATAGCTCTGATGCCCAGCCCCCAGCCTCTGCCTGCGGGGGTGTTGGCAGTAGAAGCGGGGGGTGGGGGCCTCCTGCCTCCCACCATCTCCCCAGGGCCGGGGCTGCTGCCTCCAGCAGCTGCCCACTCCTCCCCGCCCTCACTGCACACAGGCATTGAAAGTTAACGGCCACACACAACCCCAGGGGGCTACAGCGCCAGGCGGCTACGCCCCACCGCCTTGCCTGGAGACAGAGGAGGGCCCATGAGAAGCCCATAAACTTCTCCTGGGTCGTTATGCCGGGAAGAAGAGAAAAACGGGAGTGAATGGAAACAGAGCATTGTCATTGCTGCTTGATCCCAAAGCCCACAGCAGGTGCAGAACCCTCCCCTGCAAGCTCTGGATTGGGCTCTTTGGTCGTTCCATTTCACAGATGAAACAACTGAGGCTGGGGGAGGGACAGCCACTCATCTAGGGCCACACCACTGTGGGGTGACAAAGCAGCTCACTCAGTAGTTCCCTTGAGGGTGGCAGCTGCAACCTCAAGCCCCCACACATGCCTAGCTGCACCATCTACACTGGCTTGGTTTCTGCAGCTGCCTAGCTAACACAAGAGTGCTCCCCTTATGGGGTGGCTTTGGGGACAGCCTGAAAACTGACAGCTAAGGTGGGCAGTGAAGAGTTAAGAAGGCTGCTGGTACTACAATGCCGCTCTGCCCTCTGGATACCCTGGCTCATTCCCTCCACATAGCAAGGGCTGCAGCAAGGGCACACCTGGCGCTGAATTCCCTACTGTTGGGGACACACACGCTTCTCCTCTGCACTCAACCCTACCCTCACCCTTGCCGGAGCTCTCTGCCCACTCTGCTGTATTCTGGGGCACGGACAGCTGCCCTGTGCCCTGAGTCTGGAACAGACAGCTGCTGGGCAGTGCCAGGGGTTCAGGGTTTCCCACCCCTAATCCCTCTACACTCCTCTTACATGCGAGTTGTATGTCCTTCATCTACAAGCTTCAGTTATTTAGTCTGCCCAGCAACCCCATGAGCAATGTGTCCCAGTCCTGCCCATTTTAAAGACAGGGATGCAGAAGGAAGCTGGACTCTGCCCCCACCTGTGTCTCCCTCCTCTTCCTCCCTGGCTCTTCCTGAGCCTTCGCTGGGAGAGGGGACACACCATCCCAAAGCTCCCAGCTCAGAGAGCATGGGCAGTTACCATGGACACACCCAATGCCTGCTGGGTGCCAGCTACTCTCCCCAGCAATGCCAGCCAACCACAGAGAAGCAGCTCAGATCCGCCTCAGATAGACAAACCAGAAAAAGTTCAGAGGTGGCACCACCCAGGGACAAAACACTTGATAAACTCACCATGATTCCACAGAGCCAGTACTAGTGTTATTCCCATTCTGCAGATGAGAAAAACCAAGGCTGTGAGGGCTCCACACAGCCAGAGGAGCTGGGATTATAATGAACCACAGAGCTGCTAGCCCGTACACCACCCCTACCCTGCTTGCCGCCACTGGAACCCTTTCAGCGCTGGACAAGATCTCAGAAGCTCAGAGATGCTGGGTTATATGATACTGGGAAAAGTTTTTGTTTGTTTTTATACCTCTCTGGGCCTCTAGTTGCTCACCTGTGCTGAAGAGGGAGCTGGGTAAATGAACGGCTAAGGCCCTGGCTGCACACAGCAGACTCTGTGTGCAAAACCTTGGTTTGCATGGGGCCTCCTCAGGGATCTCAGAAGACAGTTGACCTCTAATCGGGGCTGGGGTGTTCCTCAGCAGGCACTGCTGGGGACATGGGACTGATCTGAGGTGACAGCCTGCTCTTTCCAGGCCAGCCCTGCCCTATTTTCATTCCTGTTTTTTTTTTGGGGGGGGGCACGTGTGGGAGGGAGAACCAGGTCAGAGTTTTCTGGGCTCAAGCAAGAGGCTTTCCAGAGGACTGCAGGCAGCCCACTCTTCTCCCTCCCTACCCTCTCTGAGCAACCATGGGCATGCCCCTTCTGCGGGGCTCAGCTCTCCAAACCACAGTAGAAGGACCCTGGACTGGGTGACCGTCTCCCCGACTCCTGCCACCTCAGGGCCTGTCCAGCTCTGAGGTTTGAAGATCAGAGAAGGCGCCCCAGGATCTTGACCTTGTTTGTGCCTTGCTTCATCCTGTCTCAGGGAAATGTTTGGGTCTTGGTGTCCCTGTGTCTTTGACTTCCCTGGGAACTAACTGGGCAGCAGTTCTGCCATGGAGAGGGGGAGGGTCGGACACCTGCTCACTGCCCACAGGCAAGGTGGTGAGCCCAGGAGTTTTGACTCAGGACTTGGCCAACACCTCTGGAAGACACACACACACACACACACACACACACACACACACACACACACACACACACACACACACACACACACACACACACACACACACACACACACACACACACACACACACACACACACACACACACACACACACACACACACACACACACACACACACACACACACACACACACACACACACACACACACACACACACACACACACACACACACACACACACACACCCCCCCCCTACCTACCTCCCTCCACCCCCAGCAAGCTCTGGAAGGGGCACTTCAGGAACCTGTGGCCACTGAAGGGTCCCACCAAGCCAGCCAACAAACTCAGCCGAAAGCAAGTCCAAGTCAAGGGCTCTGAGCTCCGCCCTGCGAAGGCACCGGACTGAAATCCAGTGTGTGTGTGCTCCCAGAGGCTCCATGGACAGTTGAGCAATGAAACACCAGAGAAAAAGGAGAAGGAAGGAAGAGGAGGAGGAGGAGGAAGAGAAAGGCCCTCACCTGTAGTCCTGTGGAGAGGGGTGGTGGCCTGGCTCTGAGCTTCCAATGATTCCAGACATCCTGGGTGAGCTGTCACTCTATCATGTCCTTGGGGAGGGCAGACTGGGAAAGACAAGCAGAAGACAAACTCTGGTGACTCCTGCCTAGGGGCGTCCTCAGCCCATCCCCCTGGGGATGGAGGTGCAGGTCCCTTCCAACGGTAGGAGCAGGGCCCAGGGAAGCCCCTAAAATCTAGTCGTCAGTCTTGGCAAATTGTATTTGCAAGAGGGGGACGGGACGAAAGAAACCTCTCCCCCACCAGGCAACACCAGTACCTTCCCGGTCCTCTCCCCACCCCCCCCCAAAAAAAACCCACAAAGTACCCAAAACCTCTGGGAGTCCCCCAAGGGTCTCCAACTCCACGCTGGAGAACAGAGAAACCCACCTAGGGCTGTCGCTGTGCACCGCCCTCCCCAACACACCAGCCTCTGCAGAATTCTGAGGTCGGGGGAGGGGGACTCTCAGAGCCAGGGGTGAAGGCACACACCCCACAGCAGCGCCCCCTCCGCGCACCCCACCTTCCTTGCGGGCTCCTAGCCGTGCCCAGCTCGGCAGAGCAGTACCTGGAGGCGATCCTCGCGGGGACACGGCCGCCGGCACTGCGGGGGTGTGCAGGGCTTCTGGATGGGGCGAGGGGGGCTCCCCAGCACTCGCCCCCTCGCGCTCTGCAATTTGGCCGCGATCGCAGCTCGAACCGTTTTTAAATTTCCCTCTCTGGAGCTGTCCAACTGCGAGCATGCGCAGTAGCCGTGCCGGAGGGGGGTTTGTTCTTTCTCCCCCCACCCCCCCAGGGGTCAGTTACAGGGCAGGGTCAGGGGATTGCAGCGGGCGGCTTCCAGCGGCGGTCCCGGCGCTCCGGGGGTGGAGGGGGATGCTGGACAGGCGTGGGCGGGGCAGGGACATCCCTCTCCCTGTTCAGACTTTGCCCATTGCGTGCCCGCGAGCATGCGTGGAGAGGATGATTTGGGTCAGGAGAATTGAGTTGCAAAAGAATGCCCCGAGCATGAAAATTTGCAATCGGTTGGAGCCGGGCACCAAGGCAGAGATCTGTCTCCAGCCCTTCTGTTCTCTCCACTGAGGGGACATGGGCCAGGGACACAGAGTTGGGGGGCCCATCAGATGGACTCTGGTCAGCGTTACCTGTCCCTTTAAGAAAGTTTGTACCCGCGTGGCGGGGAGGAGGGCGGCTTGGAGCCCGGAGCGCTCGCGCTGCCCGCCGAGCACCTGCACCTGCCAGGGGCTGTGGCTGGGAGTGCCAGCCCTTGCACGGAGCCCAGGTGCAGGGTTTGAAGAGAAAGGGGACGCCCCGGGCCTGTTTTCCGTGCCCCCAGAGTGCGCTCTCGTCGGGGGCAAGCGCCAGGAGGGACTCGGCTGCCCGGGGTGTCGCCTTGGCCGTGGCGGCTGCAAGAGCGAACCGAGTCGTTGGAGGCTGCGGCCCGCCGGTGCGCCCGCGCTCCCGTCCTTCCCCGCCGCCCAGCCCGCGCGCCGCTGTCCGCCGCGGGAAAGGTGGCGCGGACCGCGGGCTGCAGGCTGCAGGCTGCGGCGGCAGCCAAGGGCGGGAGTGCTGGCAGCGCTCTCTCCAGTCCCGCTAGGTGGAACAGGTGCCCTGGGTCTCCAAAGAACGCGTGCGTGCGTTCCCCCTACGCTCTGGCTTTTTTGAGATAGCAGGGATAGCAAATCCCCGACCCAGCCGCCGCCTCTTGCCGGGGTTGTTAGTCCGCAGGGATACCCTGTTCTCGTGGCTTCTGCGCACTTGCCCCTTCGGGGATACGGTGCCTGCAGCTCAGAGCCGGGCCCCATCGGCCGGGAGTGGGCGACGTCGGGATTTCCAACCCTCTCCTCACTTATGGATGGGGGCGAGGCGGGAACAGCCGAGCCGCCAGCACTGCGTGGGAGAGTGAAAGGCAACTGACAGCCGCGGGGGGAGCAGCGGATGGAGCCCCAGGGCCTGTGGATATTATGTTTTGATGTTTGCTTAGCCAGGTGGGCTGAAGGCGGTCCCCTCGTCACCACCACGACCTCAGTGTAATTCAGCAGTTAAGCCATCAGCACTCCACGCGTGGGGCTTGATTCTGTTCGTGGGTGTCGGGGTTGTGAAAGTGGCTGGCATGGCGCTCCTGCTGAAGGACAGTGGTTTTCATTCAGGAAGGATTCTGTACCTTCTGAGCGGTTGGAATCAAACTTCATCATTTGACAGCTGGTGGATCCTGTAAGATTATATATTAGAAAATGATTTATTATTTATTTAAAAGGCAGATTTACAAAGAGGAGAGCTAGAGAAAGATCTTCCTTCTGCTGGTTCATTCACCAAGTGGCCACAACAGCCAGAACTGAACTGATGTGAAGCCAGGAGCCTCCTCTGAGTTTCCCACACAGGATGCAGGGTCCCAAGGACTTAAGCCATCCTCTGCTGCTTTCCCAGGCCACCACCGGCAGGGAACTGGATGGGAAGTTCAGCAGCCCATACTCAAACCAGCATCCATGTGGAATGTTGGCCCCACTGGGCGGAGAATTAGCCTATTGAGCCACAGCTGTAAAGCTTTTAAAGTAAAAGCCACCTGACCAGCTTGAAGGTTCTTTTTGTAGATGTGTTCATGATGGAAGGTGGTCCAAAGATGAGAACAGGGAAGAGTGGGAAATGTGCTGGCAGACCCCATAAAGCCCCCAGAATCATTCATTCTGGCCCAGCCAATGCCACCAGAGGCAGGATCTGAAATTCCATCAGTGTTAAGTGGGCTAGTTTTGAAGCTGACCACATGAAGGTTGTTAGCAATTTCTCCATGACCCCTAGACAAGGGGGAAAAATGATTTCTTTCAGGAAGTGGTTGTTCAAAGTGTTGCCACTCAGGCCCCTCCCTTGGAGGTGACTCAGGAGCCCCAGTGGACCTTGCAGCCACCCCTCTTTTCTTGCTCTCTTGAGATGAGAGCACTTTGGTCCTTTTCTGTAGAGTGTGGAGCGTGATCGGCCAGCTGAGTGTTATCAGCAGCCACAGGGAGGAGCTTGGGAAACCTGCTTGGTGAACAGGTGTCTCCACTCAGTCTGATCTTGCAAGTAGGGGCACCTGCTACAGTGGCTAGTGTCTGAGCAGCAGGCAGCCGGCGCCCGTTCTTCCTTCCTCGGATGAAGGAGCGTGGCGTTTCTCCGTTGCTGTGGAGTAGCCGAAGCTGTAACGGAGCCTGTTTGAGAACATCTTTAAGATGCCCTGTTCGCGAACTTCCCTCAAGGCACAGGGTGAGTGCCACAGCCAGCTCTCCACCCCTACAGGACCTCTGGCAGAAGGGAAGGAGGAGGTAGGTAGCTTTGGACTTATTCTCCTGGAAAATGCTTGTATTTGGCTCAGTGTTTCTTAGGTTTGTGTTGTTCAGAGCTGAAGTGCCTGGGGCAGGAGAAGAAATACTGGTTGGTGACACTGGAGGATGATTTTGCAGCAGACTCGGTTCCTAGTTCCTTCTCTGCCGATTGCGATTGCGATTGCGAGGGTGCTGTCGGCTCCATTAGATTAACTCACTAGGCAAGTTTGGAACAGGCTTTTCAGTTTGGTTTTTGAACTCGCGAAAACAGCTTGAGTGTATCAGAGGTCCTACACTCTAATACTTTTCATTTTTTCTCAATTCTTGGCGCTTTTTTCCTCCCCACTTGAATTTTCCAACGGTGAGCAGGAGCAACGTTGGGCAAACATTATTTGCAATGAGAACGAAACAACTCGCTCTCTTCCACGCCACCCGCCAGCTGCATCCAGTGAGCTGCAGAGCATGGCTGTGAAACAGAGAGCCCTGGGGTTTTGTCTCTGGCGGGAGGGCCCTGGCGCTAGAGGGGACCCACCATAGGCATGCTGGGGGCTCATTCCCCTCCCATCCCAGCCCCTTGTTCTGTCAGTGACCGTGAACCAGAGAGATGACGGAGCGTGTTCTGGTTAGGGAGTTGGTCGAGGGTGCTCCATGCGACAGTTTAGGAGTTGGGTTTCCTAAGACTTCCCCAGCTTGGCGGCCCCAAGCTAGCAGAAAAAACGCACATCTCTGCCACCATCAGCCTGGCTAAGAAGTGGGTTCGTAGGCTTTGGGGAGGACCGCCACCTGCACCTGTTGTGTCTTAATGCTGGGAATTTCTGGAATGTCCTAGTATCTTCTTGTTCTCCTGTTGGCCTCTGCCTGGGTCTGGTTTGCAGAAAGGTAGACGGCAACCAATTAAAGCTAACAAGCTCCATGACCCACACATGGGCGCCGCCGACCAGGAGGTAGGCGCTGTCTTGGTTTGATTTTTTTTTCTTCTTTCTTTGCTAGGAAATGATTTTAAGAATCTCTTTTGAGGTTGAAAGAAAACAAAATCATTGGCCTTGGACTCAGTAACTGCACGAAAAGGGCTGGCTGAGAAGACACGGTGCTGTTGACTTGACGTAGCCTGAGGGCGAAATTGGGAACACAGTTGACATTGCAGGCCGCTGTAGTCCCTCTGACATAGAAGGTGCCTGCCTGTGACGCAGCTGTAGCTGAGTGGAGGGACAGAGGGGTCACAAAGAAGAGCTTGTGTCAGTGCCGAGACCCCCCCCGGCGTGCCAATAGTCTGTAGTGCCTTACGTCTCCTCCTAAGAGGTCATGGCCAAGTGCATGCACATGCAGAGACGGCCTCCTGTGGAAAGTGTGTACAATGTCATGTGTCCTACTTGAGCCAATATTTGTCCCTAAACACAGGAGTACAAGACCGAATGCTTTTGGGGGCAAAACTTAAGGCTGTATCCATTTCCCATAGATATAATTCTTGGAGGTGACAGCACCAAAACTCTCTGGTGGATAGTCTATGGGGCTTAAGTTTTTAATTTATTGGTTGATTATATTTATTTAAAAGACAGGAAGATCATCCTTTCCCCAGTTCCCTTACATTTGGATATGGGTTGTCCCAAAGCCAGGAGCCAGGAACTTCATCCGGGTCTCCCATGTGGGTGCCAGGGGACCCCAGGAAGTGATTTGTCAGTGAGAACAGCCCAGAGTGTGCGTTAGGAAGAATCTGATATCAGGAGTGGAG